TAAAACACAAAATTTACCAATAATAATGAGTTATTTAATTCAAGTATACTTGCGTAGCTTAAATAGCGTTACTTCAAGCTCTGGCCAGGTTACTCTTATATTAAAACAGCTTTGGCAAAACCCTAATGAATTATTGAATTCAAGTATACTTGCGTAGCTTAAGTAGCGTTACTTCAAGCTCTGACCAGGTTACTCTCTTATTAAAACAGCTTGGCAAAATCCTAATAAATTGTTGAATTCATGTATACTTGCGTAGCTTAAATAGCGTTACTTCAAGCTCTGATCAGGTTACTCTCTTATTAAAACAACTTGACAAAATCCTAATGAATTGTTGAATTCAAGTATACTTGCGTAGCTTAAATAGTGTTACATTAAGGTCTAACCAGGTTACTCTCTTAATAAAACAACTTGCCAAAATCCTAATAAATTATTGAATTCAAGTATACTTGCGTAGCTTAAATAGTGTTACTTCAAGCTCTGACCAGGTTACTATCTTATTAAAACAGCTTTGGCAAAATCCTAATGAATTATTGAATTCAAGTATACTTGCGTAGAATAAATGGCGTTACTTCAAGCTCTGACCAGGTTACTCTTATTAAAACAGCTTTGGCAAAGTCCTAATGAATTATTGAATTCAAGTATACTTGCGTAGCTTAAATAGCGTTACTTTAAGCTCTGACCAGGCTACTCTCGTAATAAAACAACTTGACAAAATCCTAATGAATTGTTGAATTCAAGTATACTTGCGTAGCTTAAATAGCGTTACTTTAAGGTCTGACCAGGTTACTCTCTTAGTAAAACAGCTTTGGCAAAATCCTAATGAATTATTGAATTCAAGTATACTTACGTAGCTTAAATAGCGTTACTTCAAGCTCTGGCCAGGTTACTCTTATATTAAAACAGCTTGGCAAAATCCTAATGAATTATTGAATTCAAGTATACTTGCGTAGCTTGAATAGTGTTACTTCAAGCTCTGACCAGGTTACTCTTATATTAAAACAGCTTGGCAAAATCCTAATGAATTATTGAATTCAAGTATACTTGCGTAGCTTAAATAGCGTTACTTCAAGCTCTGGTTCAACATTCCGTATAGCTCACTGGCATCTCATAAAGAAATGCTTTTTGACGCACGCGAAACTGAAATCCAAACGAAATTGGGATAATTTTAACAACTTATCTCTCTAATTGTGGATCTTATACCTCAAAATCAGTTGAATAAAAACATGCAAGTTTAACAGACATACACAAAGGCACATTTCCCAAGTTTACCAATGACGAATGGGCTTTCAAAAATTAGATAACACAAGCAAAAAACTACATCACAAAGCGAACATTTAACTTAAGGTACTTAATGGAATTACAATTTCTTTCATCGTTTTTTATATGAATAACAGAAAGACTGGATCAAAAACATAACCTGGTCAGAGCTTGAAGTAACGCTATTTAAGCTACGCAAGTATACTTGAATTCAATAATTCATTAGGATTTTGCAAAGCTGTTTTAATATGAGAGTAACCTGGCCCAGCTTTAATAAATTGTATAAATTAGCAAATATTTTAACACAAGAGGTGTTTATTCAAAGATATATACAAACTTCGTTTGTTTTTTTATGAAGTGTTTTCACGTGTACTGAATCACTTTACATACACATTTCCTGTTGCCTTGCCAGTTTTCTAGTTAAGAATTTTACAGTTATAAAAAATGAATCCCACCATTAAGATTACAAAGAAAATCAAAATAAAACACAAATACGTCAATTACTATGAATAAGGTAAGACATCCTTCTTTAAGAATCTCTTACTGCTGTCTCTTTCTGTGTCTTCTAATATTTATAAAAACCAGTTGTCTTTCGGTAACGCTCAGCTCGTTTCACTTAGCAACAAAATTATGACCTGATAGCTTTGTCTTACGTATGTATATAATATTTCGAAAGTTCACGCAGACTGGTTTAAATTCCACTTTCTTAGATCGTTTTATGTCTTAATTTATGCATATACTTAGCTTGATGTAGACATTTCGAAGTTCTTGGCGAGTTTTAAAAACATCTAAGTTAGAGGTTAGTGACCGTAATTCGTGTGTTTTTATTAGGTTTTCGTGGAGATTTTCAGTTTTATTAGCACTTTCTCTCGATAAATCATCTTTTATTTATTTATTTCTCCAAAATGTATTGCTATTAGTCTTAACTAATGATGGTACTCGAAATTAATTTGTGAGAGAATTTTTATCATAAACCTTAGGCCTGGTGGTTTTGGATGTTTCATCTTGTTTTGGGTGCAATTTTTATGTTATGTGACGTAATTAGAAAAATACGGTGTGGTACGTGAAATATCGATGGATTTGTGAAATCTTCCACTTACCACAAAGCCACAACTTCATGAAATTGATAAATCGGGTATACTTCAAGAATTTCTGATGGGATGTCATGGATCAAGGTTTGAGTGATAAGATTATGTTAGTAGGCCTTGGATTCCTACTGCCGATACTTATATCTGTACAAGTACTCAACATCCATAAAATTCATTAACGGATGTTTGTTTTATCTGAAAAAGCCTTTCATTTGAAATTTAATTTTTATTTTATTTAAACTTTCACAATTCCAAATATAGTGGTTAGAATTAAAATGATATCATTGGAAACATCTTTACACAGTTCTCTATGTTTTGAATAATAAAAATGTTAGGTCTTAAGAACATGCATTTCTATTTTGTGAAAAATCTATATTACAACATGTGAAAAGTTACATCATTAATAAAAAAAATGAATGCTAAAAATGTTGTACTATACAACAATAAATGAAATGCTGAAAAACGGTTTCAATTTCTTCTAGAACTCATTTTAACATTAGGAATACATGTAGATATTCTTGATATACTCATAACACTGAGAACAAACAAAAAAAACAATAAATAAGAGTTTGAAATGATTTTCATAAATTTAAATAAAAATCATGAACTTTGGCGTAATATTGCTCTTTTTTTCCAAATTAAAATCTAATGTATGTAAATGCCAGTTGTCATTTTCTTTGTAACGCTCATACTATGAGTCATTTTTAATTTAAATTTGCACCATTATTTTTGAGAATCTACTTGAATTGTTTTTATTTCCTCAGTGTGTGTTTGTTCTTATATTATGATGAGGAAGAAGTGTGATGGACAAAGCATGTTTTGATGGGTCAGGCAAGGCTAGTTATAGTAATAAGCTGTAATAATTCTCAAGTGACAGCATTTTTGTATCGTCTGGTGGTCATAGTAATAAGCTGTAATAATTATGTTTTTGCGTCGTCTGGTGGTCATAGTAATAAGCTGTAATAATTATGTTTTTGCGTCGTCTGGTGGTCATAGTAATAAGCTGTAATAATTCTTAAGTGACAGCATTTTTGTATCGTCTGGTGGTCATAGTAATAAGCTGTAATAATTATGTTTTTGTGTCGTCTGGTGGTCATAGTAATAAGGTGTAATAATTCTCAAGTGACAGTGTTTTTGTATCGACTGGTGGTCATAGTAATAAGCTGTAATAACAACCTAACTTATGCCGATCTCCTGTTGGTGTTTCTAATAACAATCTAACTTATGCCGATCTCCTATTGGTGTTTCTAATAACAACCTAACTTATGCCGATCTCCTGTTAGTGATTCTAATAACAACCTAACTTATGCTAATCTCCTGTTAGTGATTCTAATAACAACCTAACTTATGCTGATCTCATGTTAGTGATTTCTAATAACAACCTAACTTATGCCGATCTCCTGTTGGTGTTTCTAATAACAACCTAACTTATGCTGATCTCCTGTTGATGATTCTAATAACAATTTAACTCGTTCTCAGTTATACGTGATACGTGATTTATCCATTTGGAATTTGCTAAAACACGAGCTAGAGTTTTATTTTATGCTTTATGATATGTTTGACCCTATTATCCTCGTAATTATGTCTGTATACTTTGAGAGTTTGAGTGTGCTGGTGACGCAATACAAAGATATACTATTTATGGTTCTCCACGAATTTTCGTTGATGATTTGAGCTAAATTATTTAATATTCACATAATATAAAGTCCATGCGGAGTTTACTTCCTTGGATTTCTGAATGCATAATAAGTGTTTTCATGACTTTTTGTTTTTACTTTATCTTCATATGTTGTAAAGTTTCTAATAATTTGGGAGAATCGCTCAGAAAATCCAAAACGTACTTTTGCTATTTAGTTTCTGCCTTTATTTCTCTATCAGTTGAAATATTAAATGCTCATTTACATGAATTATTAATTGGCACGTCATATCATTAGGAAAGAGTTTATTGAACAACTGGAGAAATGTTATGACTAGCGTCTTTGATAATTTGTATTTTCGTTGTCCTTATACCATGTCAAGTGGCAGTTTGAAATTTGTATTCGCAAATTAAACCCATAGTGAAAACTGTATAAAATTTTATGAGCTAACCATGAAGGAATAAGTTTTAAAATGTCCCGAAACTGTTTCGAATCGATTTGAAACGTATTCGTTGATACATAAATATATAAGATGGCTTCACTGAATTTTGCAGGTTCTGTTTTTGTTTTCACTTGTCTGTTTGGTAGATAGAAACTCATATTTTTAACTAAATAATTTATGCGTGAATTGAAAAATAGGTGCATTGTTGCAGCTATTGGCTACAACGGTCTTTTTATATTTCAACGTTTTTTACAATATCGCCAGCTAGAGGGGTATTTCAGAAACCAATAATTTCATTCATAAACACAAAATGAAACGGCTATTCAAGAATTAATGACATGAACTTATTAGAATTTGCCAATTTCAATATCAAATATAAATAATAATAATAATAATTCAGTTTCACATATTTTTTGTGGTTGTTGTTTTTTGTTTTTAGGGTTAAGTCATGATAGCTTTAATTGTCCACTTGAAGAGCTAGAGGGCAGTGTAAAATATATTAAAATTACTTACCCGTTATAGATACCAGAGAAGCAAGGATTCCAGTGATCAAGTCCAATACCAGAAACTTTTTGTTGTGTAATATATAGCTGAAATGAAACGTAACCAGTCAATTATAACCCGAGAAACGTTCAATATAGATTACACCAGTATTCAGGATCAAAAGTATTTATTAACTTACCTCAAAGTAAGAGCGATCATCCCACCACCCACTGATGAGTTAATAGTAGCGATAGCAGATCTGCGAATTAAAAAACAAACAATATTCTTATTAGTTTTATTCATTCTTTACACTACCTTTATCTAAAACATAACAAGAATAAAGATTGAACACAATAAAAAGTTAATTTTGTTCAAGGTTAAAGTTATAAACGATAGGAAATTGCGAAATGTTCTTTCTGATAAAATAATGTTTTATGTATATACGTATGTTGAATGATTACGTAAACTTGAGTAATTCGACAAACACAATAAATTATTTAAGAAGTGCGAAAGCGAGAGCAGGATCTTTAAATAATTATTATTGTAATATCACATTACAAAACTCAGCAACAGATATTACACTTAAAGAATGCTTCAATTAAAGTATCATATTCAAGTAGAATTAACTTTCAAACATTTGCTTAATTAAACGTCTTGCATTTCAACGTTTTTATGAATTATCTCAATCATTTAAGATCACAGTTTTAATGACTAAGTTTTACGAGTATTCACCTTAAGAGTTGGTTCAATTTGATCTCATGAGTCGGTTCAAACTTTCAGGTCTTAGTCTTATGAGATGGTTCAAACTTTTCAGGTCTTTATATAATGAGTTGGTTCAAACTTTCCAGGTCTTTATATAATGAGTTGGTTCAAACTTTCAGGTCTTGTTTTTATGGGTTGGTTCAAACTTTCAGGTCTTGTTTTTATGGGTTGGTTATAACTTTCAGGTCTTGTTCTCATGGGTTGGTTATAGCTTTCAGGTCTTGTTCTCATGGGTTGGTTATAACTTTCAGGTTTTGTTCTCATGGGTTGGTTATAGCTTTCAGGTCTTGTTCTCATGGGTTGGTTATAACTTTCAGGTTTTGTTCTCATGGGTTGGTTATAGCTTTCAGGTCTTGTTCTCATGGGTTGGTTAAAACTTTCAAGTCTTGTTCTCATGGGTTGGTTAAAACTTTCAAGTCTTGTTCTCATGGGTTGGTTATAACTTTCAAGTCTTGTTCTAATGTGTTGTTTATAACTTTCTAGTCGTGTTCTCATGGGCTGGTTATAACTTTCAAGTCTTGTTCTCATGGGTTGGTTATAACTTTCAGGTCTTAGTCTCATGGGTTGGTTATAACTTTCAGGTCTTAGTCTCATGAGATTGTTCAAGTTCTTCCGCTTATATTTTTAATGAGCTGACACAAATTTTTAGAATCGTAGTTTGATAAATTGATTCGAGATTTTAAAATCGTAGTTTTCATGAATTAATTCAAACTTTCTACGTTGTAGGTTATGATAAACTGGTTCAATTTATTTACTTTTTTTACATTTCCTGATATTTTCGTTCGTTCGATACGTTTTACTAAATCACATATGAACATTCTAATCATTATATATCTTAAATAATACCACTTAACTTAACATATGGGAGCTGCTGGCACTTTTACAGGTAAACATTAATTACAATCTCAGTAAGGGTAGTAATTCATCCCTTTAATCAAAAACCCAATATTAGTACGCTGTATTCTCATAATTTCTTATGAATTGATCCGGTTGTGGCCAAGCGTTTATCGTGCTCGTACTGTGAATCCGAGGGTTCCTTGTTCGAAGCCTTTTGCTGCAAAAATGTACTTCAAGAATGAGCTGCAAGTATGTCGGTCAAATCCCACTATATGTTAAGGCAGCGGTAACCAAAGTGTTGACGGAGGGTGCTATTGGCTATTTTCCTTCTATCTAGTCTGTCGGTTCAAAATTAGTGGTGACTATGCACAGACAGCTTTGCGCGAAATTCTCAAACAAACCAGCGATCCATAGAATCCGCATTTCACTTGATATAACAATACATTTCCGTTTCATACAAGTTCGGTGGTTTTCTAAAGAATGTGTTCACGTGTCCTGTACAGAGATGTGATATAGTACAGCTTGTTTATACGAGTTTTGAAGCTTTAAGTAAACTTACAGACTTCACACGCAAGATACGTTTGTGTTGGAAAGGGTTAAGGGCGTTTGCTTACGTGATCTGAAATGCTGACATGATCTATTCTAGAAGTCTTTAAGAACGTAAAGAAGTTTACATTTGTCTGATATTTAGTAGTGTAAAGTCGGATGCTGCTATTTTGAGAGACGTCATCAATTTGTCTTCTACGTAAGCAGTTTGAATCTTCTATAACGAAGGAATAAACAAGAGCAACGTATCCTACCCACCAATAATTCAGTATCTACTCTGAATATTACAAACATCCTCATTAACATATGGGAGCTGCTGGCACTTTTACAGGTAAACATTAATTACAATCTCAGTAAGGGTAGTAATTCATCCCTTTAATCAAAAACCCAATATTAGTACGCTGTATTCTCATAATTTCTTATTTATTTATGTAAAAGCATTTTACTTACAGTTTTACTTAAAGTAGGACAATAAACGTAATCGCAAAAAAGTAATTATCATGAACCACGGTAGTGGTTCATAATAGGGTTCACAAGGAATTGCACAAAACCTTAACAGAACGTTCGAGGAAAAAAGCACTTTAAACAATAAAAATTCAGTTCAAGCAAATCTTTAAAATGCAGAAAAAAGCACGCATGTTAGACTTACAAGGAAAAAAATCTGCTCAAAACGGCCCGTTTGTAATTCTTCTTCTTATTATTATTATTATTTTCTTGCCAATTTGTTAGTTGGCAACTGTTTTTATATATTGGATAGTGGAAAAAATAATCTGACAACAATTGAAACAAATGCAGTAGTACAACATAGAAGTGGAATACGTCTACCAACCTAGCAGCGTACTTCCATTTGTGGCCAGAAACTCCAAACGTGCTGCCACAGTTGAAACCCAGCCAGCCCCACCTATTAGCGAAAATAAATAGAAAGAATGAGTTTGTAGACTGGAAATGTTATAAAAAGTTAGCATGCCTAGGTATTACATCAGTATTCAGTACGTTGAAACTTAATATAATTATTATGTTAGAAGATAAAGTGTCTGCAACGTTCCATCCCACTGTTCAGATAAACCTTGCAGCTCTCGCATAGATTCAGTTCTGTTATCTAAGCTGAACTGTATAGGTTTTTGTTTTGTTTTCATCACGATCATTTTATTAAATTGAATGTCTGCTTTTCGGTTAATTTTACACCAACTGAAAAATCATACTTCATTTTAAAGTAACTAAAACTTACACCTACACAGCATGTAGTTTCATAGAAAACTTTATCTATTAGACCTTTCCAAATCCGAAATGCAGCACATTATATTCCCACATATTTTAAAGAAAACGGACACTACTTGTCGTGTTGCTTTCTAACCATAAACGACATGTAATAACATTTTTGTTGTTATTTCTTGAGTAACGAAAGCAAAATGCATCTATCCTTATGTTGAACTTCTGCTCTATTGGTTTATTTTAAGTCTTGTGCAGTTTTATTGCTCTGGATAAGAGTGGGTAAATATGATGTTTCTACCATGTATTTATACTCCAAAATCAGAGAGGATATTAGGTTTAGTTAATAAACCTATTTCAGTTTATATATACTACTTTTAGTTTACAAATCTGTGCTAGTTTACAGATAATTCTTTTAGTTTGTAAATCTCTCTGCTTACATATACTAATTTAGTCAATAATTTGCGTCTTACATATGTTACTTTTATTTAATAAATTTGTCTCTTTTTTTACTTTTAGTTAATAAATCTATAGACCCTATGCGCATGACGTCATACATACATAATAGGCAAGCCGAAAAGTAAACACAGCCATTTTGTACGTAGCAAAGAAGCAATCTAGTAATTGCAATGTAGTTTCTGGTATTGGAATTTGGGATTAAGTATTTGAAATGACAATCAATTGTGTGGTAGTTAGTTGTCCAAACAACCAGACAAAGAATCCGGAGTTCTCGTTGTATAGGTTTCCAAAAGTATGTAGAGTTAAACGGATTGCAGCAGTAAAACGTGCAGACCCGAACAACATTGACAAGGCTTGGAAACCATCGTCGTACCGTAGACTATTCAGTTCCCATTTTATATCTGGTTAGTACTGCTTGTATATACAATGTACTTTGTCACAATTATATTGCACAGATCGTGATAAAATCTGTAGCTTATATATATATATGGTGCTTCCCGTAATCTAAATACCGTGATATAGGCACATACAAGTACGTGGAAGAGCCCATTGAGTGATAATAAAACTTTATCAAAAATTTGGCTTGTCAAGACAGGTGGTCTTAAAATCCAGAGCGTATTTGTGTAAAGTATATGGTAATGTGCACTGAAGAAAGTAGTCTTACAAGACAAGAATACTTAAAATGCAATGCATTATGATGTAGTACATCTAGATCGTAAACTTACCACTGATAGAACATAAACGATAGGCCTAGTCATTAAAAACAACTTCGACTTACCCTCGAGTACGCTGTGTAGTTGGACATCTTGTACACCTTCCACAGTCTCACATCGTACACCCAGCCGGCCACAAAATACTTGTAAGCATTAAGGATTTTATAGGCCTTGAACTACTTTCCGGTTTAAAAATGATGTTGTCAGGACTAAATGATTTACGACATCTATATTCTCAATCTGTACGACTTTAATGTTGGTCCTCCGTTTCGAATGTCGATTAATTTACTGGTATCTAGCGCAATTGTCATTGCGACGGGCTGAAATATGGATCTGTCGTATCAAGACCGACTTTTCTGCATTTTTCTTCATATCTTGCCTTGCATATATTGTCTAACTTGCTAGTAAATTCGTGAAAAATGAACGGAGAACTAGGTGATTGTGTAGCGGAGGCCATGATTACACGAATAACGTTTTCGTCCAATATGGCCGCAAATTGTTGCCGTGTTTACTTTGGTCACATGACTGCATAACCTCTATACCAGTTTACATTGCCTGACATGGTCTGATGGTTAGGGTACTCGATTTGCAATCTCTAAGCATGTTCGTCACCGAACGTGCTCGCCCTTTTAGCCAGGGGGCGTCATAGTGTGACGGACATTCACACTGTTCGTTCATAAAAAAGCAGCCCAAGAGTTAGCGGTGGGTGGTGTTGACTAGCTGCCTTCCCTCTAGTCTATCTCTGCTAAATTAGGGATGGCTAGCGCAGATAGCCCTCGTGTAACTTTGAGCAAAATTCAAAATAAACCAAACTGTCACTCTTATAACGCACTGACAGTCATAAAATATGAATTGCGACTTTTTTCGGTAAGAGGTGCGAACCATGGATGCACAGTTTGACAAGTTAACCATTGAGCCACGCTTGGCGCAGCTTAAAGGGCAGCTTATACTGTTTATTATCAGATCTTGCTTTACATAATCAATGTTTATGTATTTTTTAGAAAATAATGTACTGCGCTGTATTAAAGTATTTTAAGGGACAAAGTAAAATGTCTTTCAACAAAACTGT